CAACTTTAATTTCGATCAAATGATAAGTACAATCATAGAATCTTTATTTCAAACAATGATTAATAATTATTTCGATTTTTTCCAGGGCAGATCGTTCATCAGAAATAATTTTTAGATTCACGTTTACTGCAAACCCCAAACGTCAAATTATCTTTTATGAGTGTTTCAAAATTTCAAACAAACCTAAAAACGCTTCGAAAGGAATAGTTATGCGGTTATGAACGACAAAGTGATCTATTTTATATCGCGAAAGTGAGAACGGAGCGTTAATACTGATATCGACACACTATTCCCGCTTGTTCATCATTATCATCTTTCATCTTTCTCTAAAATTTTGCATTCAAGTTTAGCTAAAAATCCCTGAAAAGCCGCTTTGTACCTTTTTGGTAAAGTTATCTATTATGGGTGCTTTCCATTTAGGCAGAACTGGCTGGCCAGTCCACTCTATTTAGAGGTATATAATGCTTTTTGTCAACATTTTTCAGTCATTTCGAGGTTTTCTGTAGAATAATGGATAGACTTTGAAAATTTGAATTTCCTAACTAAATGGGAATGATATACATGTATAATGACATTTTCTCTGTGTCTGGCCAGCCAGTTATGACTCCGCTGCACGTTGGTCTTCCATGGCATAGAGACAAAGACATAATGACTGCACTATTGACCTGATTTATAGCGTGTTACATTGCGAAATGACTAACGCTAACTAAAAATTGTGCAGGCCAGGTCCGCAGTAACTGTGCGGTAATTTCTACCGTACGTTTCCCACTCATACGAAATTGAATCTATGTATCTAACTCAATTATTATGGCAACTTAAACAGTTGCGCTGTGTGCGCCTGACACACAAAATAATCTGAGCTCTATAATGTCTATTGGCCTGATTTACAGTGCGTTACATTGCCAAATGATTAACACTCTATCTAAATCAATCAATCGATAAAAATCRATATTAATTTTTTGTGTGAGTTCGATTTTYATCGATTKTTAGATACAATCAAATCTGCTGGCTTTGATTTTTATCGATTTATCGATTCGATTTTTATCGATTGACTACTCCGGGATCTACGTGAAAGAGAAACCACATTGTCACTATATTAAAGGYAACTAAGTTGGTTTTTCAACGAAAATCAGTGTTAAATCAGTCAGCATGCACCAAAGTACATGACTGTAGTGAAATTCTACAATATAAGAACAGGAACAAAATAAAGAAATTAATGTTTTTTGGTTATTTTGAAGAAGGCTCGCATTTACATGTAGAGGCTCGGGCTCGCAGGATCGCAAAATAGCAACCCCCGTATTTACAAAAAGAAGATTTGACTTAAATCATTACTATAAACTTACTTTCCACTACAGGTTCCTTCAACTTCGGTAAAGAGTTTCTGTTTGACAGTGTTCAATAAATTTGGGCCAAAGTAACGAGGATGCAGAAGGATTTCGTGTTCTAAAGATATCTGATAAGAACGACTATAATTAGCGCATAAAATCACGAAACCTTTTGGACCTTTTGTTCAGACAATCGAATATTCCTTGCTCACATCTTTGGCAAACTTACATGGTAAAACATACTAGTAGCAATATGACAACRATACAGAGACAAACGTTAGCACATTGTCTTCAATTCGACTGTACTTCAGTGCTGTGCAGCCAGGCCTTTTYTAGAAGGCAGGAAACCCAATAACTATAAAAAAGTTAATTATCATATTATTTGTGAAAATATCACTTCATATAGAGCCTAGCCAAAATCTGTCAAAATGATTCAGAAACGCTAGGAAATTATATTGAAATTGAAAATTTATAAAAAAAAATGTTATTTAAATTTGGTTGCTTTTCCTGTGTTAGAATTGGGCTTGCTGTCTTCTTTTGGAAGTAAGGGGTTGAGAACGAACAACTATTTGCTTTGGTTATTAATTTGGGCGCAAGTTTAATTGAGTTTATTAGATGGAATGCACGTTAAAGAGCCAAAAGTTAATAGTTCAAGTGCTATACGTAATTGAGAACACATTGAAACAGGTAATATGGGCGAACTATAATTTTTTTATGACATTGCTCACTTATGTTGCCCCGAAACGATAGCAGCTTGTGAGTTTTCAAATTAAGTTATATTAATTTTAACCTGAGTTTTTCACATGCATACAATATTACGCCAGTTTGGTGGTGGCAGAATGGAAAAGGGAGCAGGGTTGGATCCAGAAATTAAATAAACCAAGACTTCCCAAAAGGGTGGTACTCGACCCCGTTTTGGATAGGTACGTGCCGCCAGCKGTCTAAATCCCTGACCCTGTTTATGATAATTAAGACACAAGAAAGTGAAAATCCATGTAAGCTTATATTACCCTGTTAAAGACAAATCGGAAAAATAAGGAATCGGTATCTACGCCGCAACCATCAAAACTGCAAATACTGACATCCATCAAAGACAATAAGAAGTTTTTGATAACACGTTAATCCTGGTACAGTGAAACGGTATTTCTTATGAAAATATTRCCCTGTCCAARACACAMAAAAAAATATGTCTAAATTGTAGAGCCTGTTTAAGACAATTTCGGGTGAAATGTATGTACCCTGTTTAAGACAGCAAGGCCAAAAACCATACCCTGGCCAGTGGCACGTCCCCATATAGCAAATATATGGGAGTACACCCCCTCGGGGTGGGAGGACATCAAATATTAGCTGTACCCTTCATGGATCTCTGACCTGGTAAGGAACAAAATGAAAGAGAGAAAAATCATTATATGRTGCATCCAGTGTTGTTATCAGGCTCAGATTGGATATGGGGTACAGTATTTGCAATTCCATCATGACTGCACTCACTACTTCTTAATTGTTAAGGTAAACAAGAAACGCGGCTGCACATAGGGTTCCCATGGCTACCATGGGTCAAAGAGACAGGGTGCTTATCTCTAGATACATACTATGTTTAATCATTTTTTCCATCCAGAGCTTGTATTCTTCTTTGTTGTCAATACAGGCAAGACTGCTGAATGCAATTGATTCYAAACCAATCAGAAACAAACAGGAATTTTATCAAAAAACAAAAGAAAACAAAAAAACAAGCACATTGAACATTTCCTTTGTTATTGTTACTTTGTACATGTCTTTATTTATTTATTTTTTTATATTATCATATCGTCATATATATCATCCAGTCTAAACTAGCAGATGATGGTGTTCAATTGGATATCAACTACAATAAGGTTGACAATTCAGCTTTTACTAATAGAGATGGTCTTATCTTGATCAGAAGTTTGGTTGAAGAACTGCAGGTACACTAAAGGATCTTCCTACTAGTCACCTTTCATTTGGAGCTCGTGCTCAAATAGTCTCCATAAGGACTGCAGCATAGCAGGGCTTTTTCTTTTCAGAATTGGGATGATCAGATTTAAAAAACTTCTCTCCTCTATGAATATCAACACAACATCAAAGAGAGCAATCCTTTATACCCACTGATTGGCAGTTTAATCATTCAGCCTTCTCATAATTACAACCTTAGATCATGTGGGAATATGTACACTGTAACCAAGTCAACTAATCATTGTGGTCAATTTGTGACCAGCAATTTGCAGTAAATATGTGTTGAATTGTTAATTTATTWTTATTATTACTTATTATTGACCACTTACCTGTCATTCAGTTATTACTGCGAAGGGTACAATTAAACCTAATATATTATTATTATAACCAACAAGTTAAAAAATTTATCAAGAAGACATATCATTWAACACTCACATCTCTGCTTATTGATATGATTTGATAGAAACTGAAGGCTGACTATGAAAAGAAATCAATGGACAGTGGGGCAATGAAGATGGCCAGTGATGACCATGATGACATTGAATGGTCTTTAGTTCAAGTTAAAGCAGACAAAGCTGAGGTTCAGATAATGTCTCTTCAGGGTTCATTTTTTATTGGAAGGGGACTCACCCCCACCTCCAAGGACTCACCCCCTTGACCATGTCTTATTAACACTACCCCTCTAACATGGTTTTTGTGTGGGTGTCGCACATGATTGGTAGGGCATGTTAAATAATATGTCACCTTGCAAAATCATGAGGAATTATTACATCCAACTTTCCCACAGTAGCATGATAAATGATGTCACATGATATCAAAGTAGACAATTAACGAAATGAACTAATCAAACTTTATTATCACATGGTTTTTATACATGTATGTGTAGTTTTTCTGTTCTAATCTTGTGATCCTAAGCTTAAGAACAATGGAATGTTTTGATGTGATGTCATAGTGCGCAGTAGAGTGGTTTGTGAATGATTGCATAAATAAAGGACAGATTGAATTAGATAAATTAATGGATTACAAATTGATGGATAAGTACATGTACACAGGGGTGGAATCAGCTGGTGGGTGCAGGGGGTGCGCACCCCCTCCTGAGATCTGTATCCTTTAATACTTTCCTTATTTTGTATCTTCATGGTAATGATTTTTTGTGGGGTGCACCCCTTCCTGAGAGCCCTGCACCCTGCCCTGAGGAAAATCCTGGATCCGCCCCTGGTACATGTCTTGGAAAAATAGCAGCATGGATCAACATAAGATAGTGGAYGGCTCCATGATGGATGGCGGGAGAGATTGGGTTGAGGATATGCTAATTTTCAAATGTTATTTATCAAATCACTTTCCCACTATATTTTTATCAATATAGTCACATGAGGGAACGCTCATTTTTTTATTGGGACAGGGGGGGAGGCTGGTAGTTTTGAGTATGACAATAAAAAATTGACAAGAAAAATTATTAGCAGCATTTTTATCATGATATTTTCAGCATGGAATTTGATGTTACATATTRATATGTTACCATGTGTATCCCAAGTAAGCACTTTAGAGCATCTAATTCTTCATATTTTTGTCTCTAGATTGATAGAAGAATATCTGCATTCATACAACAAAAGCAGAACGAAGTTGACATGGTCAACAAGCGGGAATTTTGTAATATAGTAGATGCGAGCCAGGAAAGCCAAGATGGTAATTCTTACTTTTGTTTTTAAGAATAGTTTCAAAAGTTACAGTTGCTTGGATGAAACCATGAGTGCCTGAGATATGTCCRGAATGTTAGAGGGATTCAGTTTTGTGACTCCATTAATTGCTAAAAAAATAAAATAAAATATATGTGTAAAGAACATTTTAGCAACTGAATAGGTTAATAATCAAAACTGATGTTGAAACTAAAAGATGTTTCAAACAATTTTACTAAAATGTTCTTTGATTTACAGTGAGTTGTGCAAGGACTGATGCTCTTTTTGTGCCACGATTTGGCCAAAAAAGCCATATTAAAGGTGTGTTTATTGTGATCAGGGCTCATTGCAGTGGGCAATTGTTGTGACCTGTGTCTATTTCCGTGCAGCCTGCACCTACACGTATAAAGCTTCTCTCCATTCTCCCTTCCACTATTTGGGCTTCCTTTGTAATGTAATTTGATGAAGCCTTAGGGAAAGCCCTAAARTATTGAGGCGATGCTTGCACTTATCAATTATTCTTCATGTTCTTTTAGTAACGCGTGTTGGCAACACAAGCACGTCTGACGAGGCCCAGGCTCTTGGAAAAATCTCTGACATCACACGACACTATGGAAAACCTAAAGTGATATGCTCAGAACCATCTGTCACAGAACGACTACATAACTTAGAAAATCACCTGGGATTCTCTTCAGGTTAGTAGGAAATATTATAACATAGTGATTACTCATACTGCTTAACTTATTGTAAGCCATCTTTCCTTTCCATATATGGTAGATCAGACTGTTTTCTGGCTTATGTAAATACAGATAATTTTGGTATTTTGTATTTCTAGCTTTTCTCATGATGCAAAATGTTTGTTATGTCTTTTCAGGAGGGCCTGTTGCGCATGACATTTATGAAGTTTTGAAACAACTGGAAAACAGAGTGTTATTTCTCGAGAGTCTTTCACCAGAATACTTCAACCCACATGTGAGTGCGTGCCTGAAGTGCTTACTACTCTCCTGGGAAAACCACCACAGGGATACCAATATATTTATGATTTCCCCTTGTTGATTGATTTGCGACCAGAGCTGCATATGAATTCGCTAATGTTGTAAGCCAGTGAGCCCGTACATTTTTGTTAAGCGGCTAAGCACGGATAAACACGGCGAGTGACGGCGAAATAAATCCGAGTCTTATTAGGCACGATTATATCGGAAATGCCATCGTAGCTCAGTGGTTAAAACGTAGTCGTCCTGACCAAGCAGCCACGGTTCGATTCCCAAGGGATATAACATATAATTTTTTTTTTCTTTCTTTCTTTTTTATTATTAATTACTTTTTCCAGCAATTCTTTTAAGAATACTTACTCCGTAACGTTGAATTAAACAACTGAAAGTTGGTTCAATTGAATCCCGACCAACTGTACGCAACCATTTTTTTATTGACGATACTAGTGTTAGCCAGTTTCCGTAGAGGCTCTAAATAGTATTATCGATATCTAACCACACAATAAACTATAAATCAAATATTACAATGTAATAATACGGTAGCGAGCGAATACATTTTTTGAATACTCCAGTTTCGAATTCTCCAATGCTCTGTGTTAGCCTCATTTGTGCGCAAAATATTCCTTATTGTGAGCGTAAAAGTGTGAGATTTCAAATCAAATTTATTGTCTTTCTTCACAAAATTCCATGCGTTTTCTCGAGC